TTTTGATCCGGAGGGTAACCGTGTAGATCTCAGATCTGATCTCTCTCTCGAACTCCTACCTTGTTTGATGTGGATGATCGCCAAGAACTAGATCTGAAAATGTCCAAGTCTTCAAAGCTTCAAAACTCCAAAGTTGAGATCTCAATCCAGCAGAGTTTCGCCTCAAAAAAGTCCAACCTCTCAACAATGAGCTTGCCCCCTCTATTTATAGGCATCTGAAAGCGGATCTGGGCTCAGATCTGGGCCCAGATCCGTGGCTCGGCCAGGTGGCTCGGCCGCCGAGCCACCTTGGTGGCTCGGTGAGCCACCTGAGCGGCTCGGTTTTGGCCGAGCTCTTCCCGGGGTGTGCCGTTTCGTCCGTTTTGCGGTTTATCCGAGCTTTGGTGTTGATCTGGATTCTGATTTGGCAGTAAATCCGCTTTAGTGTTGTGGTCTAACGATCCAGCTTGGATATATTGCCCGATGGTCCGATGGTTTGTTGAATCACCGTGCTGAGCTGTGTTAAGAAACCTATAAGCAGTTTTATACGCCTACATATATGATCCTATAAAATGTTTTGAGCATGAAAACATCGACTTAAGACACTTATTATTTAGTACCAATGCATATGAAATACCTCCTTAAGTGCAAATACATATGATACAATCATATTAACATCCAGCCTTATTTCCTCATTTTAAATTCATTTATTTTTCACTTGCCTTTTTCAAGTCTTGATCATGTTGTACCAACGTCTCCATCCTTTCCATTCAAAGCTTGAAGTTTTCCTTTCCATCAAATTTCTCATTCTCGAATTTCATCATAGAAAATCCTCCCTTTTACCAAGTCGCTAGATCAATCCCTTTCCCAGATGAGTTCTAATGCTAATTGATTCGACTCGAATATTAATTATTATGAAATTCATTGATGTTGCAGTAGCTTCGCTAGGAGCTACCCGAGTAGATCTGCGTTGTTGAATAAGAGAAAACGATCTATTCGTGAAAAGGGAAAGAACATGTCCAAAATGTGTTGATAACAATATCGACAATCTCATAGAAACTAAATCAAATATAAGGGCACCAATTTAACATGGTTCGGCAATCGCTTACGTTCACAAGGAGGAGTGACTTTATTACTAGAAATTGCAAGACATCGTTTTTCTTGATCTCACTATAAACTCTCTTTTCGTTCTTAATAAAGCAACTCTCTAAATCTTATCCTCCTCTACAAATATTTAGACTTGTCTTGATGGCATATTACAATGCATCACTCAATGGTTACTTGGAGAGCTTTTCCCCTATCGTGAATTATTGTATGATTTGTTCTTTGACTTGGATTGTTGAATCCCAAGCCTCTTTCAGTTAGAATTAAATTCTAATTGAAATAGTTTCTATCCAGCATGAAGTCTCAATCCAAGTTTTATTATGATACATAAATACAAAGATAATTCCGAATATACAAGTGGATGGGTGGGGATATGCATGTGATCATTTTATTTTATTTATTTGGTTCTAATGATTATGCCTTTGCTACACTACTTTTTTACTTCTATTTTATCGATCTTTTTTTAACGAATACTTGTAGGCCCGTGGTGAATCTTGAGACTCAACTTAATCCAATCCCATCCCATCATTTTCCTTTGAATCAGGCTTCAATGGCCGATTCTTTTATTCATTGGAATTTTATGCTAGGCATAAAACATCAAGCCAAAAGAAAAGTGTAATTTTTATTTGAAATTGGTGTTCTAATGACTGTAATTGTTGACTTGTTGAGAAATAGCTACATCTAATATTCAGTTACCCATTTTGCGTATTTTAACCAATGTACCAGGCTCCTCTAATGAATACCGAGTACCCATTTTTGTCTTAATCTAGTCAAGGTATGGTTCATGATAGTTCTTTCATTGTTAATTTCTCTAGCTTATGTTGATACCGTCTCCTTCGATATTTGCGCTAAAGATGTCCATTGTCATATTTGTTTTATAGGGATTAACTTGTTAGTTTCGCTAAATTTGGGGTTGTTTTAGATAAGTTCTAGGAAGGTACATAATTTAAATAAGTTCTAGGAAGGTACTTTAATTTACAGAATCGAGACTGACATGGAATCATGCAATCCTTAGGGTCTGTTTGGCTATTTCCGAAAAAAAAAATAAAATGGAAAACCCTCTTTGAAAATGATTTCAACACATATCAAAAGGTTTCCTAGTTTTCTTTTATTTTGTTTGTTTCGTAAAGAAACCTCCACTTTTCATTGCTATGTCACACAAAAAACAAAAAAAAGCCTCCATAGTAACAGTACTTTTGATTTCTATTTCTTTAGTTTGTTTGACAAGAAGAAAAAAGAAAAGAGAAATGACCCATTAAAAAAGGAATTTATTCATCATGGTACTCTCCAATATTACTTCTATTAATTAAAATCTCATTGATGTGTCATTTCCAATTGTTTTCACAGCTTTTTGTTGTGAAAACACATTTCTTGAAATGTGACATGGAATCCTAAGTGGCATCCCCATTTCCTTAAATAAAAAAATAAAACAAACATGTGAAATGGAAATGTGTTGAAACCAAAATTCTTTTCTTTTTTTTTTTTTTTTTTTTGCAAACAAACAGCCCCTTAAAACAACTTCATATGGCAAATAAGTTCTAGGAAGGTACTTAATTTAGATGAAAGACCATACTTTTTTTTTTTAACAACTAGTTCTTTTTGGTGCTGTGATGTTATTAATTAAATTGGTAATCCAACAATGAGAAACTAATAGTTTATTTATCATGGAACCCAAATTGAGAATGTCATAGTTTTAACTTTTATAACAATATATGTTTGTCTTTAAAACCGGTTAATAATGAAGGAATAAGACAGAGGCAGTAGGTATTCTATCATTGTACCGTGACATCAATTCTTGATTGGATCGAGATTAGACACAAACATTTATCTAATATTTCTGTTCCCATCAAGTCCATCGTTGAACAGGGACATCAATTCCGATCCGGAATGGATTGAGATTAGACACACACGTATATCTAATAGTTTTGTTCCCATCAATGTAACCCATTATGCACAAGCATACATCTGATTCTATCAATATGCATTTGAACTTGGAACTTATATCTGTAATCAATTATAAATAGCACAGATTAGTATTCTAATTTGATTGCATTTGTCGCTCTGTTCTAAGCAATGGTTTATTTTCTATCGGCCATGGTATAGTTATAGTTGATAACTTAGCCTTCGTTTGGATACCATGATATTTTTCTTGTTGTATTTGTACAAAAAACATCATGGTATTGTGTTTTTAGCTTAAAATGTTTTCAAAACACCATGTAAAGTATTTGGTCAATACTAGTTTAACCCATTATAACATTAGTATTAAACATATTATTATTATATTATATATTAATTATAATAAATATATTATAAAAAATATCATAATATTTAGTTTACATTATTATAGTATTATAAGTATTAAATGTAATGAAATATAATATTGTATAAAGTATTATAATATTATATTGTACTTTATATAGTGTATAATTGTATATCACACTACCATGTAAATATAATATTGTATATCACACTACCATGTAAATATATTATATAGTGTATAATTGGGTGAATTATTTGCTCCAGCAAAGAATAATTGTAAAGGTGAAGTGATGTGGCTTTTGGAGGGAATTATTCAATAAATCTAGAATTATTATAGTGAAAAGCAATCAAATCGCGTCATGTGTCATTGTAAAAGCAATTGTTTGCTGCTGGAGTGCTCATTTATCCACGGGAGAAAACACAAAGGAGGTGAGGTGCAATCGCGACATGTGGCAGCTTCGTGTTGGTTGATGCATTTTTCTTTTCCACCCTCTTTTTAAATGGTATTTTTTACCAATAAATTGATCAAATTAAAAAAAAAATCACCATTAATTTTCTTTTTTCGAGATCTATAAATAGACACCAACTTTGCTTCATTTGGACACCAAAATTTTTTGAGTATTTTCTCCAAAACTTCTTTCTTCCTCCAACTTCTTTGCTCGATCTCTTTCAAAATTCCTCCAACTTCTTTGCTCTCTTTCAAAATGGACCCTAATCAAAATTTTAATCGTCCCCCAACTTATATGTTTCCTAACCAACCTCAAAATTCCAATAATCAACGTCCTGAAAATCTTCAAAACATGCCATCCAATTTTCAGATACCGTATATGATGCCATCTAATTTTGGTATGCAATATCCTTATAATTTCCCTTATATGCAATATGGGCAACAAATTGGTGGAAGTAATTATGGTGGTTTCTCCAATATCAATAATCAAAACATCGAGCAAGTTACTCCTCATTTTAGCAGTGGATCAACAGATGTACCCGAGTTTTCCACTCAAATATCTCTTGGAAGTGCTGGTGATGACACACCACATAGTTTTTTGCTCCAAACACAGAAAAATACTTCAAAATCTAGTTATTCGGTTTGGAGTGTCGAGCAAAACAAACTACTTTTAACTAGTTATTTTCACTTTAGTAATGATAGTGAATTGGGTAGTGGCCAAAAGGGTGACACTTTTTGGGATAAAATTGCTGCTTACTTGAATGAGCATTCAACAACTGGCCCTCATAGGAGTCAACAACAATGTAAAAGCCATTACAGTGATCTCAACAAAAAAATTGGTAAGTGGGTTGGTGTATACAGAAAAGCATTAGCAGAGAGGCGTAGCGGTTGGTCAGACGACAACTACATAGCAAGAGCTCAAGATTTGTTTGTTGAAGAAACTAAAAAAAACTTTGCTTTGCTTGAAGAATGTAAGTTGGTTCGTAATGAACCAAAATATATGGTTGGATCTGGTGCATCTCAAAGTAGTGGAAGTAAAAGGAAGAGTAGCGGGGAAGGTGATATCTCATGCTCATCAGTTCCTTCTTTTGTACGCCCAGAAGGTAGAGACACGACAAAGAAAAAAGCTAAGGGCTCCTCTAGAAGATCGAAACTTGTTATTGAGGAGGAATACTCTAAGATATAGTCTGAACGCTAGAAGCTAAAAGAAATGAAGGAACAACAGATGAAGATGATGCAAGAAGTTGCAACAGCTCAAAAGGAGGCAGGAGCTAAAAGAAATGAAGGAACAACAGATGAAGATGATGCAAGAAGTTGCAACAGCTCAAAAGGAGGCAGCATGTGCTCAAAAGGAGGCAGCACGTGCTGAAAAAATGAAAATGTGGATGGACCTTAATCAGAGAAATCAAAGAAATGCATTAGACGAGTATGAGTATAAACTGCTTAACATGCTACAGATCGAATTGTTTGGCCTTTAAGTTTATCTGTTTGAGAGTTCATCTTTTACAATTCCAAGAATAAATGTAATGTGTGTTGTTTAGTATGATGTTAAGAGTGTATTGTCTGAGTATGATGTCTGAGTGTATTGTTAGAATGTGATGTCTGAGTGTATTGTTCAATAAAATGCATCTTGGTTCCTGCAAACAATTCCTTTGTATGTAAGTCATTTGAAATTTGAAAAGCAAAGCTCAATTATGTTGTACGTAAAAGTCCAAACATATGATCTCTGCACACTACAAACAAACCTTATCTCTTGAACATATCAAAAGCAATGTTGCTTCACATGTGATCTCTGCACAATACAGTCCAAACCTTATCTCTTGAACATCTCAAAATCAATGTTGCTTCACATGTGATCTCTACACACTACAATCCAAACCTTATCTCTTGAACATCTCAAAATAAATGTTGCTTCACATGTGATCTCTGCACACTTCAGTCCAAACCTTATCTCTTGAACATATCAAAAGCAATGTTACTTCACATGTGATCTCTGCACACTACAGTCCAAACCTTATCTCTTGAACATCTCAAAATAAATGTTGCTTCACATGTGATCTCTGCACACTTCAGTCCAAACCTTATCTCTTGAACATATCAAAAGCAATGTTACTTCACATGTGATCTCTGCACACTACAGTCCAAACCTTATCTCTTGAACATCTCAAAATCAATGTTGCTTCACATGTGATCTTTGCACACTACAAACAAGCCTTATCTCTTCACATGTGATATCTGAAAATCTAAGATTGGGTAATATAAATACCACTTGGATATTGAACTTATTACACATTACTTCATTACCAATTTCATCTACACAATTATTACTTAGATGAATCCACCCCCATACGAGTTTAACTTAGAGGAACTCTAAAAACAATAGGATTTGGAGGAATCTTTACTCAAATGCCAACAACAGTTACTTGAAGAGTTACAAGCTGCAAGTAATCGATCCCATAAGAGGACATACATAGATAGAAACCATGAAGCTGCCCATCAAAGGCTGATGAAAGACTACTTTGTCGAATCTCCCACATACATCGACCACCAATTTCGTCGAAGATATCGAATGCAACGACCAGTATTTCTACGAATTGTAGATTCTCTCTCAAATTATGGCACATATTTCACTCAGAGGAGAAATAGTGCTGGAAAGCGTGGTTTATCGCCAATTCAAAAGTGTACTGCTGCTATACGCATGTTAGCATATGGTGTTGCAGCTGATGCTTGTGACGAATACGTAAAGATTGGAGAAACCACTGCAGTAGAGTGTGTCAGCAAGTTTTGTGAAAGTATTGTGGCCATATTTAAGAATGACTATTTGAGAAGGCCGAATGAGGAAGACATCCAACGACTACTAAAAGTAGGCGAAGAGCACGGTTTTCCGGGAATGATTGGAAGTATTGATTGCATGCATTGTCAATGAAAAAATTGTCCTAAGGCTTGGCAAGGTCAATTTACCAGTGGACATAAAGGCACAACAACAGTAATACTCAAAGCGGTTGCTTCTTATGACTTGTGGATATGGCATGCCTTTTTTGGATTGCCAGGTACATTGAATGATATAAATGTGCTTGAAAGGTCACCTGTCTTTGATGACATTGAGGCAGGTGAAGCTCCGCATGTGAACTTCACTGTGAATGGTCATCAATACAATTTGGCATACTATCTTGCTGACGGAATCTATCCCAAATGGTCTGTCTTTGTCCAATCACTTCAATATCCCCAAGGCGAAAAAGCGAAATTGTTTGCAAAACAACAAGAATCTTGTAGGAAGGATGTGGAACGTGCATTTGGGGTTCTCCAAGCACGTTTTGTTATAATTCGTCAACCAGCTAGAATGTGGGATTTGAATGTCTTATCAAAAATTATGAGAGCGTGTATTATTTTACACAATATGATAGTGGAGGATGAACGAGATACTTATAGTCGAAACTGGGAGAACGTTGACTTTGAACCATCAAGCATTGCTAGCTCGAGCTCATCATTTGATTACCAAACACAAACGTTACCTTAGTTTGAAGTGCATGTTCAAGGTAGGTCCGAATCAGATATTCATACTATATCTGAACTCCGAGATAGGGCCAAACATCTTCAATTGAAGGAGGATCTTGTCGAGCACATTTGGCAAAACATCTTCAATTGAAGGAGGATCTTGTCGAGCACATTTGGCAAAAGTTTGGAGCAACCGCAATTTAATTTTCAACTTTCGATTTTAATTTTGTCAACGAGCACATTTGGCAAAAGTTTGGAGCAACCGCAATTTAATTTTCAACTTTCGATTTTAATTTTGTCAATTTTTAGTTTGTTTTGTGTGTTTTTAATAAATTATACTGTTGATTTATCTAGATCAATAAAATCTTGTCTTGTTTTTAATATTGTAATAATATTTGATAAATATCAAAATTAAATAATTATAAATAAAAAAAATAAAAAATTATATTATTATTATTATAATAATATTAATTATAATACATATATCACATATGAAAAAATATAATATAATAAAATATATGATGGGGAGTGATGAGGAAAGATAGAAAAGTGAATTATTTCCTAAATTATCCTCTATTGTGGAGTGTATATGATAGTGGAGACATTTGATGATGTGGCAGGTTATGTGGAAGGGGATAAAGTGAATTTGAATTGTCCCCTATTGGAGATGGTCTAATAGTTTTGTTCCCATCAATGTAACCCATTATGCACAAGCATACATCTGATTCTATCAATATGCATTTGAACTTGGAACTTATATCTTTAATCAATTATAAATAGCACAGATTAGTATTCTAATTTGATTGCATTTGTCGCTCTGTCCTAAGCAATGGTTTATTTTCTATTCGCCATGGTATAGTTATAGTTGATAACTTAGGCTTCGTTTAGATACCATGATATTTTTCTTGTTGTATTTTTACAAAAAACATCATGGTGTTCTGTTTTTAACTTAAAATGTTTTCAAAACACCATGTAAAGTATTTGGTCAATACTAGTTTAACCCATTATAATATTAGTATTAAACATATTATTATTATATTATATATTAATTATAATAAATATATTATAAAAAATATCATAATATTTAGTTTACATTATTATAGTATTATAAGTATTAAATGTAATGAAATATAATATTGTATAAAGTATTATAATATTATATTGTACTTTATGAGTTATAATATATTATAACTATTACATATTATTTTCAAATAATTATATATTTAATTATTTTGGTATATCAATTTGTTATTGTTGTATATAAATTATTTTATTATTAAAAATTATTTTACTTTATAATAAATTAATAAATTATATTATTTATTACATAATATATTAATATTTTATATATTACATTGCATTTAGTATACAATATGTTATTATAATAATATTATTAAATTGTTATGTTATTATTAAATATGTTAGTATTATTTAACATTTTATAATTATTAATTTATTACAATTTATTTATTAAAAAGTTAATAATATTATAGTGATTATACTATTATATAGTATATTATTATATTATTATTTATTATCAATAATTTTTTATTATTTTTATTAGTTAATTTGTATTTTATTATTATTTATTTACTATATAATATATTATTAATATATTAAATATTGGTATTTAATATGTTATTATATTATTATATAAGATATTTTATTTATCGTATTTTTATATTATTTAATAAATATTACTAATATATTAAATTAAATATAATATAGTATATTATATTAATACCTTCTCAAACTCAAAACGAAAACACCAAACTTAAAACACCTAAAATTTGTTTTGAAATAAGTGTTGTTTTTTTAGTTTGAGAATGATTTAGCTCAAAAAACACCATGGTTTTCAAACGCATGGCGTTATATTTTTGACAAAAACACCATAGAAACAAGTAAAACACCATGATATCCAAACGGAGCCTAGTAACTTTTAAGTTTCCACCAAAATTTTCCAGGTACTCTAATTTGAGGCGATGAAGCGAAGGGATTGGCGACAAGAGAGGCGAAATGGCGTTCCCCATTCCAAGGCGTCGGATCTCTTCCCTAGGTGGCGTATAGTCTCCTTCAGTAACGGTAATATCATAATAACTCCTCTGCCACCCCCTCACCTCCTACAATGCCGCCCATTTCTGCCTCTCCGCCTTCTCTCCCACCACCTTCTTTCTCTTTTTCCCATTTTCCTCCACCAAAATTACCTTTTCCAAACCACCCCTAGCCACCCACTCCACTTTTCTCATCTTTTGAAGACCTCTTTAAGGATACCAATTGACCTCCGCCTTCCTCCTCTAAGGGCATCCTTCCCCTTCCAGAGGAAGGTTGGAAGACAGTTTCTCGCAGAAAACGTCCTAAGTTTTCCCCTCATCATCCACCTTCTCCTCCTCCTAAACTCCCTAGGTGCTTCCTAGGGATGACAAAATGGACTCAAAACCAATTGCCCACCCATACCCACCCACCAAATGAACCATCCAAACCCACTCATTTAGTTAAATGGGCCATAAATGGGTGGATATAGTTTCTATTAAAGATAAATAGGTCATTAATATGCGGGTTATTACCTACCTATTTGCCCGTTTAGATGGATATTGTTTTAAAAACACCCCCAACGCTTCAACAATTACAAAACTTATTTTTAAAAAGTTAAAAATTATAAAAAAAACACTTAAAATGACTAACAACCCGTTAAAATTTTGAGATTTGTAAAAAGCACCATCAAAGTTTAAAATATTATGAAAACACCCTCAAGAGTTAAAAATTATAAAAAAATATCAAAATTTTCTAACCTCACAGATGACACATGAAATTCAAAAATTACCAACAGCCCCCTAAAAATTTATAATTTGCAAAAAATACCCTTAAAAATTATAGAAAATGAGAAAAACACCCTCAAGACTTCAAAATAAAACACCCTCAAGACTTCAAAATTACCAAACAATTTTAGAGTTTTCTAAACTTGCAAATGACACATGAAATCTAAAAATTTTCAATAGTCCCCTATAAATTTAAAATTTGTAATTAACACCCTCAAAGTTTTAAATTTTTAGAAAAACACCCTCTATGGTTTAGAATTACAAAACCATCCTAAAATGTCAAAACCTACAAAACATGAAATCCAAAAATTACTAGCAGCCCCCTGTAAATTTATTATTTATAAAAAGCACCCTCAAAGTTTAAAAATTGTAAAAAACACCCTCAAGGGTTCAAAACTACAAAACAATCTTAGAATTTTCTAAACTTGCAAATGACACATGAAATCTAAAAAATTTCGATAGTCCCCTATAATTATTAAATTTGCAAATAATACCCTCAAACTTTTAAAAATCATAAAAAACACCCTCAATGATATATAAATATAAAAAGTAGGCGCTCATAATTCTTCGTCGGCAGGAGATATATGCGTGTGTGGGATCTTTTCAGTACCCTCAAGGATATATAAATGTTATTTTCATTTATAGGCTTTTGCTTTTGAATATATGTTAAATGCCATCCAGCGCTTCTCGGCATCGTGCTGGTCTCCTGGATTAGAAATGAATATTTTGTGATATGGATTTGTATCTGCACGAGTTTGTTCAAAATTGGCAATGAAGTCGCAAATGTGCTTTGAATTTGATGGCGAGCACCTATTGAACTTAGATCTTGAGCTTATACTTATTATGAACTTTGGGAGACTGAGTTAGTGGATTGTAGTGATTTGGGAAAGAAATCTGAAGCTGATCAGATTCCTTTTAAGTTGTTGGCTCATTAAGGTTCTATGGCTCTACAACAATACAGTTACCAGTTGACCTTGAAAATACAAAACTATTAAGGAAATAATATTTGCAAAGATAATTATTGAAGAAAATTATGAACAACAACAACAAAATTACTACACAAGATTAAAACAAGATGGAGTGTGCATTATTGAAGAAAATTATGAACAACAACAACAAAATTACTACACAAGATTAAAACAAGATGGAGTGTGCTACTAACTGAGTCTGTTTTCTCATTGTAGCATTCGCAAGAGTATCCTTAATTTTTTTATCTGCAACATGTTTATTCAATAAATGTTTATGCTATTGTGACGCCCCTGGGTTCACACAAGGCTGCAGTCCGAGGTGAAACCTAGGATGTCAAACCTGCTATGCACCACACCGTGCAATAACATGTTTCACCATCACAATTAACATCTATCTAGTAGAGTCAACAACTGGTGTAGATACAAAACAGGTAAAAGACATTACGAGGAATACTGATGAAATGATAATAGTCACATAAATATCTCATCATCCAACAACATAGAAGTACATAGTCAAGATCTGAGTAGATAAACTGAAATCCTTGATAAGTCTCAAATACAAATATCTGACAATAAGGAAACAAGGCTCACAGCCTTTACAACTTCTAGAATAATACCCTCAAATGTCTAATCTCACTACAGTGGAGACCAAAGAAAATAATACATAGCTAGAAAGTAAAGCTGAACACTAATGTGGTCCGCTATCAACCTGCGGCTCTCCGTGCTCCTGGCTCGTGACCTGAAAGGGGGAGGGACAACGAGCGTCAAAGCGCTAGCGAGTAACATCACAACCAACCCCAAGGGGACAGGGCTCGTTGTATATGAAAATACAGATAATATATAATAGATCTAAAGTCATTGATCCTACTAAAGAGGGTTTTAGTATTTAGAAATTTACAACACGAGCATAGGTACGTCGAGCGAAATAATCCAAACAAGGAAACCCTCATGTATATACCTTGTATCTCAAATTGTAAATCTCTAAACACCAAACCCGAGGTTCTAGTACAGAAATAATAATAAAAGAAATACAGCAAACACCAGAGCATAATTACAGTGTGGTGATATAGTCAACGTAAATATCACAATATTTATTACATAAATATTGTGTCAATACCTTCATAAGTGTGGTACAAAATTTGCATAATCAGTATGTTGTGAAATGTGGTACAATAATCACACGCAGGAAGAAGAACCATGTCCGATGCAAGGTCCAACTATCGTAGTTTTCCAAACTC